TGGGATTTCACCACGATGGCCAGGCTGGTCTTGAACTCCTGACCTCAGGTGATCCACCCACCTCGGCCTCCCAAAGTGCTAGGATTACAGGGGTGAGCCACCACGCCTGGCAAGTCACTAATAATTCTTTTACAAACATTCAACTTTGTTAATTATCCCTTAATCTCCAACTATTATTCTTGCACCAGGCAATCAAACACAAATATTTTAAAGCCTTCTACAAAAGCAAAAGGCTCAAATGGAGCAAAAGACAGGAAAAAAAAGGAACTAAAGTTGAGAGAGGGGATAAGTTCAAAACCAAAGGAACCAACCAGACACAAATCTAAACACAAGAGACTTTCATTACACGATTGTTATCTAAATATCGGTGAGTGGACTGTTGGGTCAAGGTTGAAACTGAAAACAGTTGCAGCATGCATTCCACTGGTGTACAGGAAGGGAGGGACCTATGGATCCAGAAAGAGATGGAATATGGATGAAGTTTTTCATGGACTGGGTGGGGTACTGTGTCCTGTGCACCTTGCATCTCTGACTGTAATACTGCACATTAGCCAGCAGAGGGTAGCCACAAATATTGCATGCATTTCTCCTCCCCATTTAATGTTTTCTTCATTTTTCAGATAAATATAAAATTGGCAATTCTTGTCCCCAGAGGTAGAATATAGAAGGTCGTGGGTGTAGTAATTCCTTAGTAACTGGCGGGGGATTTTTTGTATGTTTCAATGTGATGCTCAAAGCTAGGGAACACGGGTGGTGGGCTGGAAAAATGATTGTGTAGTTGGAACTAACTTTGAAGAAGCCGTGTTCTATGCCAAATGCTGTGCTAAGTGACTCATATGCATTAGTATATTTAATCATCTCAAAAAGTCTTAGGATATACTATTTTATCAGTCCCAATTTCTGGGCAAAAGAACTAAATATTAGATAATTTAAGTAATTTGCAACCCCTGGAATTAAAGCAATATTACTGTAATTCACAACATTATATAAGCTCCCTCAGCAGAACAGTCCCAGTTTCTACCCTAGTGCTGTGCTGAGCTTGATCTGAGGTAGTGTGGGACCTGAGATGGCTTTAGTCAGTGAGAGGGTTTTAGGGAAAGAATGAAAGCAGAATGAAATGAAAAGAAATCACGAGGGTGAATCACAAGGTCAGGAGCTTGAGAACAGTCTGTCCAGCATGGTGAAACCATGTATCTATAAAAAATAGAAAAAATTAGCCAGGCATGGTGTCATGCACCTGTAATCTCAACTACTTGGGAGGCTGAGGCAGGAGAATTGCTTGAACCCAGAAAGCGGAGGTTTCAGTGAGCCAAGATCATGCCACTGCGTTCCAGTCTGAGCAACAGAGCAAGTCTCCATCTCAAAAAACAAACAAACTAACAAACAAACAAAACAAAACAAAAAAAGGAAAAAAAAGGTATTTAAGACTAAATTACAAGAAAGTAATTGGAGTAAGCTTTTTACAAAAAAGCACTGGAGTAAGCTTGGCAAATGGATGGGGACAAGGTGGGGAAAATGAGATACCAGTTACCTTTTGGGCCCGTAAGTCACCAAACAAGCAGAAATGAATAAATTACGAAGAGTTAAGCTGGGAAGAACAAAAGCTAAAGGCATCATATGGACGCATAGTTTAATTTAGCGCGCCTCACATGCTCTCACTGTAGAGATGACTATTCCTAAAACATGGTTTTCAAAACCATATTTACTAGCCTAAAGGAAAATATGTTATGATAATCAGGTGTTTATGGGGTTTTTATAAGTTATCACAATAGGTTTCCTTAAATTTTTCTTCCTAATATCCGTAACTGCGAATCTTAGGCATTTTATTTACTTAAATTGCCTCATCACTGTCTTCCTGTGAACAGTGGGGAAAGCATGTGTACGGTAGTAACATCCTACTTGGCCACCATGTGAACTTCACCACATCTCTTTAAGAGTTTATGATTAGCATTGACTGGGAGGTAAATGTTAGCAGATTTGTAAGAAACAAAATCAAGATATTTTTAGTTCACTTTGGCAAATATTTTTAAATGTTTACTATGTTGCCAAGCAATGTGCTAGGCACAGGGGTTAAAAGGTATTTAAGAGGCTGGGCAATGTGGCTCATGCCTGTAATCCCAGCACTTTGGGGGGCCAGGGCAGGTGAATGACGAGGTCAGGAGTTCAAGACCAGTCTGTCCAGCATGGTGAAACCCCGTCTCTACTAAAAGTACAAAACATTAGCCAGGCATGGTGGCATGCACCTGTAATCTCAGCTACTTGGGAGGTTGAGGCAGGAGAATTGCTTGAACCCAGAAAGCGGAGGTTGCAGTAAGCCAAGATTGTGCCACTGCATGCTAGTCTGAGCAAGAATCCGTCTCAAAAAAAAAAAAAAGAAAGAAGGAAAAAAATGTATTTAAGACTAAATTCCTATTATCAAAAAGTTCTCATATTCAAGTGGAAAAACAGAAAATAAGTCAATGACCATAATGGAATAGGGTGAACCCTCCCTTAAAAGCATGAGTAATGTGCTAAAGTCACTAGGAAAGTGTAGCTTTTTGGGTCTCCCTATATTCAACAACTTGTCCTACGGATAAATATTTAAGATTTGCCTGGTGCTTTTCTAGTAATGGATAGCTTAGAAGTTTAGTTTTAAAACTGAGCATGAAAATAGTTGCATCCTGTGATGGAGGAGTACCGAGAATTCTGACCATATCTACTCACTAAATTACTGAAGCTACAAAGTAGTAGTACATTCTGCTGTGGTTCCCTATTTGGCAACTAGTACTCATTTATCAAGGCTCACTGCACATAAGATACTCCAGCAGCCATGGGGAACAACGGATAAGAGGTTGGAAACAAAAATTTTATAGAGAAATAAATAATTGAGTAGAATGATTTGATTTTATAGCTAGAAATGGCTCAAAAAAACATCTAAAATGATGGTTAATGTCATCATTTTACAGATGAGGGAAGTGAGGTCCGGCAGTAAAAAGTAATCATTTTTCCCAAATGTCATATATCTAATAATAGTGAGGACGAGAGCCCGCAGAAGACTGGCAGGTAATGCGTGCATAGTTCCACCTGGGAGCTCTAGCATCAGACAGCTTGGGCTCACATCTGTCTCCACAAAATACTGACTGGGTTATCTTAAATTATTTAAACTCCTGTCATTCAGTGACCTCATCTGCGAAATGGAAATACTACTATAGTATCTGCAGATATAAAATGAGTGAATATGTATAGAACAATAATGAGGATTGAAATGTAGTGCAAATTAACAAAGGACATACTAAGAGCTTGGTAAATGCTAATTATTAGAACTTAGGTGGCCTAATTTCTGCATTAGTATTCTTTCTGCCACAAGAGACATGAAAATGAAATAGGATTTTGTTCATTGGTGTTTCTCTGACACAGGAAGAAATCTCTCTCTGAAATCTGTATGCTCCTGTGGTGTCCTCATTCCCCCTCGTGTCTCTTTTTTCAGGGCCAAGGAAATTAAGATCAAGTTGGGAATTCTCCTCCAGAAGCCAGACTCAGCTGGTGACCTTGTCATTCCATACAATGAGAAGCCGGAGAAACCAGCCAAGACCCAGAAGTGAGTCATGAATATGGATTCCACTCATTTCCTCCAGAGGATGGCTATTTTTCAAGTGTTCAGCACCATTCCTCATCTGTAGAACTACCCCCTTCAAATACTCATTAAGGATCATAAGACCCTCAGAGAGTTGGTTTGCAAAGAAGCTTTAAAAAAAAAACAACAAAAACCCAACAAAAAAAAACCCTGTCTCATGTCTGAATCATCTTATTGAATACTGGTAGAATATTTTAAAAATGAAAGATAAGGCTCTGCCTTATTTTTGGAAAGACAGACCATACTTATAAAATGACACCAGCCACTTCCTCAGTTACTTACCACACAGTCGTGTGGTAAAAATACCTGTTCATTCACTGTCTTAGTAGCCACTCCTGATCCAGTTAATTACGAACCCTGGATGCTTACCTGCCAAGGAACTATCTAAGGCTGCTTCCTCAGCAGGGGGATATGAGAACATTTCCCTCAGAGAGATGCTAAGGACAAGGCAGACAATGTAAGCCTAACCGTTCCTTCTCCAAGATAGTGGCCCTCAAGGCCCAACAGAGGAACAAAGTCTGTTACTTAAGAATGAACACTCGACTAGCTATTTCTATTAAAGGTACACCAAGTATTGTTTTTCCAATTTGTAAATTAATATTATTGATTGGATTTCTGCAGTCCTCCCTCATCCCCATTCCCCTCTCCCTACATATTCCTCCTGTCAGTTCAGACAACCTAGGGAACTATACTTCTAAAGAATCGTGATGTTATGACAGTGAATCCTACTATGACATTTCATAGCAGGAACAGTGTGCATTGGCCTGGTCTTAACTCAGGAACAAGACTCCTAGCATTCCCGTCGTGCATCATCATCCCTGCTAGCTACAGAGACGGTCACTACCTAGACAGACACACTCCATCTTCCCATTAAAACAGAGATACCCATGAAAATCAAGAAAGGAAAATGGGAAAAAGAAAACACCAAGGTATTCAGACTCCTTCACTCTGCTATCTTAGAGCTTTGAGGGTATCACAGAAGTGTGGTAAAAATATGGGAGTCACTTTAACCTCCATTTCTCTTTTTGTATGTAACATTTATATAAAGTGGCCAGCCCATCCTTTGTCCAAATGACCTCAACTTAATATAGCTGGATTGACTGGAAGATAAAGAGATAAGTTATTCTTTTTCTTTTTTAAATCTTTTTCCATTAACCTAAGTGAATATTTCCATTCCCCCTTATTTTTTTTTATTACTTCAAAGTGATTCTAAACAGGAAGTGAGGCATAATTGAATTTTCTGCATTTGAAAAGGAGAAGCTAATTCAGTGTGGAGCAGCAGGCACCAAGGGTAGCAGAGAGTAAGAACCACATTTCAGAGCAGGAACAGATCAAAACATCTATTTTGAAGTAAACAATGTGACAATTGTTATTGATCTGTTGGAATTGACCTTAAAAAATAAGAGTTCTACATTTCCTGTTTTAAATCTCGGCTTTAACAGTCACATAGACCCTTAAAATGTTGGGCTTACCAGGGATTCAGAGAGAAGCTGTTTTGGAAGAAACCCTGGGGCTGACCATTTATTGGATTATTTGCTTTTCTTGTCTTCCATCCCCTTCCTTCCTCCAGAAGACTAAATTGTTTTGGAAAAAATCCTTCATATCCCTAGAGAATAATTCTGTGTCTGTTGCATTTTCAACAGTGACCACTAAAAAAATTTCCCACTCTCCTCTGAATCCATAAACCCCATCCCACCTCCTCATATTTGGCAACTTTCTACGCCATTTATCTGACAGGAAATACTGTGTTCTGCATAAGCTCCATCTCTCTCTCTCTCTCTCTCTCTCTCTCTCTCTCTCTCTCTCTCTCTCTTCTCTCCACTTGAAAATTTCTCTGTATTTTTAACTCATATTTTTCTCTCAGAGGAGAAAATAATCCTTCTCTTCACGGGAAGTATTTTTAACCTCTCTCATATTCTTTGGGTTATTGACATCAGTAGAATCAGTTTTTTAAAAAGCATTTTCTAGTTTTTAACATGTAGTTTTGAGTTCTCATTTAAAAAAAATGGACCATTGAGAAAAAACAGAAAAATCTACTTACATTCCTACCCCCTAAAGCCAGCTCTGTTCCCCTTTTAGCATTTTTAGTTGCCCTTTTTCCCTGCGGACCCTCTTCCCCTAGGAGCAAACAGGTACCCATGTTCCATGCCGAAACATTTCCTTCCCACCTTTCTCTCCTTCTGCATCTATACCTTTCTCTTTAATTGGCTAACTGTAGAAAACGAAGTCGGTTCTCATGGCTTTCAGTCTTTTCTGGATCATCTCATCCAGCTTCAACCTTTCTTCCTCACCGGCACTATTGTCTCTAAGGCCCCATCTGTGACTTGTCTGCAGCGTTTGACAGCTCACCAGTTGACCTACTCTTAAAACTCTCTTCCTTGACTTCTGGTCTTCCCCCTGCCTTCCCTTTCTCTGAGTACTTCCACTGTTGCCTGCCCTCTGGATGTGAGCATTCCTTAAGGCTCTGCTTTAGCCCCTCCTGATGAACGGACAAAATGAGTCTACCACATAGGTTTAGTTTGTGGTAACTGTTATCATGGCTTACAATATCATCAATTGTAAAATGTTAGGAGCTGATATAGAAATTCATATAGTTTATTTTATATTATAATTGTCTCCCTTTCTCCTATGTCAGCAATTTTTAACCCCTTTTTTTGGTTTGTTGTTGTAGTGATCATTTTATACTCAAGAATGACCTCCATGCATAAACAGTAGCTAGCCTGTGCTAGTGGAAAAGAGTTAAAGAAAGTTGTCCTGCATACGCTCACCTGGTTGACTTAGAGTGAGCCTGGTTGTGAGGACTAAAGATGTATGCACAATTTCAAGCCCACATATGGATATCAAAAAATGACACGTTTTGCTTGTTTTTAAGTCTGTATCCCCAAACATGGTGCCCAGGTCACCGTTGTCCATCAGGTAAGGGCTCAATAGATGCTCATAGACTTGATCCTAGTCATGAGCAGACTGCACTGTGGGGCAGGAAGGGAGAGGGGACTAGACTTGTCTAATTGATGGTAAATAACTTGAATTTTATTTTCCTTGTTAAGAGCACTGATGTGCAAGAACATTATTAAGACATTTTAAGCATGTGCCAGGCACTGCATAGATTAAAAACCAAATTAAACCGAAACAAAAGCAAATGAAAAACATAACCACAGGTACTTTAGAGATGTTACAGCTCCTAAGGGCCAGCATTGCCAATAGCAGTAATACTGGTTCATGGGACTGGTCATCAAAATCAAAGTTTGGAGTTATTTGTGGCTTTCATCAACCAGGCTAACTCAGGGCAAAACCATCATTCATTTACTTATTAATCTGACACACATTTATTGCAAGGTTGATTGATGTTGTAAGGGTATACCATGGGATAGAGTGGAATGGGAAAAGCTCTCTGTGCATGACAACCTAAACCCTTGGGCAGTGAGTGCATCATGTCATGTGAGAGACTCAGTGCGTAAATGTGGTAAGAGTAGAGTGAAAAGAGAGATGGCACTTCTAGCAGAGATGGCCACTTCCTGGACCAGGTGGCATTTACACTAGGCATTATAAAACATGTGGCTAATCATCTCTATAAATGTTTGAGTTTCATCTGAAATAGCTTCCTCTTCCTCCCACCCTCACCCACACACAGAAACTCCATGCCCATCCTCTGTGGTCAGCTGTGACCTAGCAAACTGGGACATTTATTGGTCATTTAGATCTGCATCTATCTTGTTTCCAATGAATTTAGACCTAATGAGGACTGGCAAATTCTGAGAATAGGGACAGGATGAACCACTGTTAGCTCCTAGGCTAGTAATCAAAACACTGGGCTTCATGCTGCGGGGGACGCGTCCTGCTTGACTGTGCCCTTAAATCAATTTGGACCAATTTCACTCCCAAGCGGGCTCTGCACATGTCCTTTTCAGGAATTTAATCTTGGCTGTGATGTGCTGCTGTTATTGACCATTAGCCTAGTTCCAACAAGACCATTTGGGACAAATCAGATCGGATAACATGCTTAAGTTTGGTGCACCTGTTCCTGTCATTTCTTCTTCCTTTGCTCCTCTATACTAACCAGAGGAAAAGTGGGGCAGGAAAGTGATTTCATTTAATGAGAATATTTATAAAATCAGGAAATCCTGTGAGTAAACCAGCCTTCCTCTTGCTCTGAGCTAGTTTCTTTTGTCCAATAATTTAATGTCCTGCTGTTCTGTCAACAATGAATAGAAACTTGGTGGGTGTCTATTATTGAAACTACTGTAGCGAAGAAGGTAAGATGTGTAAGGCCTTGTGACAAACATGTAAGTAGGAAATAATAGGCACAAAAACAGTTCTCTACTTGCAATAATATAAAAGAGCCAAGAGGATTTATTGACCTCTAGTAGATAGATCCTTTTCTGGATAGAAGTAAAATGAACCAGAACACTACAGAGAAATAAATTTCTGAGGCATTAGTGTGTTTTCCATCTATGATGGCTGTGTTTCTATCCAGGAAAACAGAAATCTCCCAAGATTATTTCACAAGGCTTGTTACCCTCACTTTGGCAAGTTTACCTCGCAAAGAGTGAACACATAAAACTTTATGAAAAATCATATAATCAGGACTCACAACCTATGCATGTTCTGGAATGAGGAATAGAGAAGGAAAGGAATTTTTCACAATATTTTAGCCTAAAACCTACTGCTGTCTTGGATTCCTTACATAAATAAAGTGAAGCTGATTGTGTGCCTGGGACAGCAAAATGAAAACTAGAATAAGCGGCTGTCATATCAACCAAAGCTGCCTATCTGAATAATTTACCTCTCCTGAAATATCATTGTATAAAAACTAGAAGCAGGAATTTTCTTTTGATTGCCTAGACAGTTGATAAACAAATTAAGAGCTAAGGAAATTCCAGTTTAGGAAAAAACACCTCATTTGGCCTTAATATTCTAACAGTGCTTTGTCAGTCTGTTTTGATTTGACAATGAAGAACTCACATCATAATGCAAGAGTTCGAGCCGGGTGAGCCGAAGAGTGTGCAGTCAGCCATTTTTCCCAGACAATACCAGCTCCACTTGACACATCCTGCTGTGAGAGAAAAATTGGTGGTTAAAATGGAATAGCTGCAGGGGTTCTGCATATATAAATGTTAAAATAGAAACAGCCTAAGGAGAAATTATGTGTTGACTATAATCTTCTCCTTTTGAGTCAGCATCTCAAGTATTTGTGTACAACATTCCTATTCAGGATATATTAACCACTTTTTTTTTTTTTTTAATCAGACAGAGTAAATCTTTTTTTAAAAAGTCTGTTCCTGTCCTAAGTAGGTAGGAAAAATGTACCTACAGTTTTTAACATGTAAATTTGCTATGATCACAATCCCAACACAAGGAAAGCCTTATACATTCACATCTTCCACTAGCCTTAATTAGATGGCTTTGGGATGTGGATGTAGAACCCCAGTGCATTTTGCTGATTCACTTAGGTATTTAACATGCAGTAATGGTGAGGCCAAGAACAGGAGTTCAATCCTTGGAATGGAACAACTGAATTTCAGGAAATTATATTTGGAAAAAAAAGACCACAATTGGAACAACTTTCATGGGATATGCAAGAATATCAAGTCACAGCTTAACGACAAGTAAACTGTACTTCTAAAAAGAGACAGACCTAACCAAATCATTCAGAAAAGATGAATATATGCAATAAAGCTGTATGAAAGCAAACCCAGCTCATCAAACCCAATTGGTAGAGAGAAAATAACTCGACCTTCTTTGCCCTGAGCATAGACCATATCATTTCCATCTAAGAGAAACAGGGAGAGTTACTGCTGGTACATGTGGTTCAATCCCTACTTAAGCCATACCCTTTCTCTTCTTGTTATTGATGTAGGCCCTCACTGGACGAGGCCCTGCAGTGGCGTGATTCCCTGGACAAACTCCTGCAGAACAACTGTAAGTTTGCATTGTTTTTTTTTTTAATAAAGGTCAGGTTAGGGACACAAATCAAAAACACCTTTGTGTTGCCTGTGTTCTTCTTCCCCAATCTGGACACTTCTTCAATTTTTGAAGGTAGTATGAACAACAGAAGGGGGCCACAGGTATGTGATTATCCAGTTCACAAGGAAAGGAGAGTCCGTGACACTGTGGGGGAATGTGACCATAAGGTGTTCTGAAGACTCATGATTGTTAGGTTGTGTTCCCATCTATCCTGCTTACTTGTATGAGCCAGAATGAGTGGCTTGACCTTCTCAACATTCTCATCAGTAAAATAGAGAAATTACCTTTCCTGACTTAGCCTATAACAAATTGATAAAGATCAGATATAACAGTGTAAAGATCACTAACAAGTCATAAGTGGTACCTCCTAGTTCAAACTTTTATACTGTCAACTGCTCTTGTGATCTGACCTGGGTTGTTATCTCCCCCAGCCTCAGTTTCCTCTTCTGGCACCATGCCTTTTACATTTTCATTCAAGACATGACAAAGGTGCTAATCAGTGCAGACTCTTTTCCAAGCTAATGCCAGTGGATCTGTAAGCACTGGGTGCCTTTCCCCAGTCCAAAATCCTTACTGATTCCCTTGACTTACAGTATCAAGTTCAAATTTCTGGTGTTCAAGATCACCGTAACTATATGGCCTGCCTGTAGGCAAACTGAACTCTTCTCTGTTCCATGCAGGGTTTCTACACTTAATTCCCTTGGCTGGAATATCTTTCACTCACATCTCTCTCTGTTAAAATTGTCTCTCATCTAAAACAGATAATTCAAATAAGAAATGCCCAGTGTTCCTTGACCATCCACAACAATTTATCCACCCTGTAAATTTCCAAAGCCATTTGTCTGCACATCTTTTATGCCACTTAATACTTGCTGCCTTCTGTTCTGTTCATAGTTGGCTTCCTTCTATGATAGATTATAAACTCACCAATGAGCAAGAGTTAGTCTTTTTCATGTAGATAATTTCACAACAGGGCATATATAGTATCAGGAAAACAAATATTTGTTGAATAATTCACTCTAAAAGTATGATTCAATTTAAAATACCTCATCTATATTTCTCCATCTTTATCACAAGAATGGAATATAAAACTTTGTTACATGCTTTGCAAAAATAAGGATTTATAAAATATTTCTCACAAGACTATCACGATTAATAGGCACAGAGTAGATGACAAGAAATGTGTGTTGAATTGAATGTGAACATTCTTTATGTCTTCCTTTTGATGTCATAAGCTCCTGCTTACTTGCAATAGAATTAATCTTTTATTTTTGGAGACAGACCACCACAGTCTGTAATTTAAAACTTTCTCTAGCTTATTCATTTCTGATTCGATCTCCTTTTTTCTTGTGCTAAACAAAGTACCCTGCCCTGACACGTACAAGATGTTTGGGGAACATTTATGTAGTGAATGAGTGAATGAACTAATTCATTTTGCTTCTTGGACCTAGAAATTTCATGAGGTCAACTAGTAGAAAAATATTTATGTTTATTAATGGACTTATTGTCTTGCTCCAGTGGCTTCTGGGCCAATAGTAGATTCACAGATGACCTATTGATAAATTATGAATGCTGGTACTCTGAACACAGGTATTTACTACTATTGTCAAAAACCCTGAGAGTCAGCAGAACTATTTTCATGTTTTCAAAACCGTTGAGAAGAATAAATATTTATGTGCCAATATACAATCCTTTTCAGTCACACTAAATCCTTAGGGCCACATGTCTATATATTTCAGGCTTTTAGGAGACAGAGAGCTACTAGAATAAGAAAGCTAGGGTTAGATAGAGTTAAATAGAGTTAAGCCAGAGGCAGTTAGTGTTAACACCTTAGCATTTGTTAAAGGACTGAAGATTTTCAGGTTGCAAACAGATGATTACTGGTGTGAGAGACCTGAGAGGCTCACAGTAATATTTTCTACTTCTCAGAGGGGAAAATATACTTGGACTTGTGTGTGTTCACATATGTGCATGTATATACACATGTATGTATATATATAATCACAATATTTCATTGAATTATATATGTATTTTAAAATTATACCTGTGTATTTATATGTGTATGTAGTACGTGTATGTATTCTTGTGTGTGTTTGCCCGTGTGTTTATATATAAGTTCCACATAATTATCTTCTTAAGTGATTAATATTTTTAAGACCTGGGCAATTCATTTCCCTAAAGCAATAAATAGGAAAGCATTTATAACTATTCTGGTCAATGCATTCCTTGAAAGGGACACTAATCCATTCAAACTAGCCCAACTAAAAACGAGGGGTCATGGTATGGGTATAGAGACCTCACAGAAAAAAAGGCAAGCCATGGCCCTCTGGGAGGTGAAGCCATCAGTAAGTGACACAGTCTTCCCTCTCTAGTTCTCTATTCTTACTGTCACTGTATTGCTCTCTTCTCCTTTATCTGTCTCTGCTTCTCCCCATGTCTCGTCTTTCTCTACGTTTCTCTTGCCACTCTGTCTTTGTTCTTTGTTTCTCTCTGTCTGGCTGTTCCTAGAGAAGAACCAGCGGAATGCCAGGCATACCCAGATAATTCTACTCCAACATCACCGATCTGAAGAGACAATATTTGACCTATTTTCCCAGACATCAGCTATGGAATACCATGAATGACTGTAAGCCAAACCAATACATCAGTTCTTCTGAGAAGTTCTTCTTTGAATCCATGAAAACTAATAGTCTATGATCAGAAACTACCTAACATTAGCTGTGGCTGAAGCAAAACAGGTAATGAAGAAAGATACATTTGGGACATATATACATTGAAAACTTCATAACTGGGGCCAGGTGCAGTGGCTCATATCTGTAATCCCAAAACTTTGGAAGGCTGTGACAGGAGGATTGCTTGAGGCCAGGAGTTCAAGACCAGCCTGGGCAACATAAAAATACCCCATCTCTAAAAAAGAAAGAAAGAAAGAGTAATAGCCAGGTGTGAGGCAGGAGGATGGCTTGAGCCCAGGATCGCACCACTGCACTCCAGCTTGGACCACAGAGAGAGACCCTGTTGCTATGAAAACAAATAAAGACAAACCACTTTACAATCTCTTTTTGTATGTTTGACTTGATAAATTTAAACCATTTAACCTTGAGGAATAGCATCATTGTCAATTTATAAGGGAAATTTGGCAGTTATGTTAATGTAGGATATTGACTTTCACAGTTGCTATATTAAATAGATCCCCAAGAATTCCTTGCATTCACAACTTTCTTTTTATTGAGTGAAAATGAAGTCAACTGGTACCAAGCTTCTAAAAAATATAGGACAGTTAAGCTGCTACTCAATCTTTTCTAACAAGGTTCCTCTCATCTTCCTTCATTTTTCAAAGTAATTTTTAATCATCTGGTATATGTGACTCTGTTCTGAAAGTACATCAACTTCCTACATGTTTTGCCTTCAGTTCTTTAGGTGGCATCATCTGTTTTCATTTCATAGGCACGTGGGGCATATACACAGTGTGTTGTTTTTTAAACATAAAAATAGATTTCACATGGGAGTTTAAATAAGACAGTGACATTTAATAATTCCCCACATGACCATTTTTAAGAGCAGAGGAAGAACGAAACAAGCCAGAAACAGTAAAGTTTTTATGTGGCTCTCCCTTCTGCAGGAGCTCTAGAAGGTCAGAGCATCTCCTTAAGACGCCCTTGCTATTTAGATTTGTCCATGGGAAATGAAGGAGCCTGGATCCAGATACATCTTTTTGTTTCTATCTTTGCACTCTCCTTTTGCTTGTTCCTCTTTGGTTTTCTTCCTTCTCATTTCTGGTTCATTTTTGTCATCATCTTCCTCACGGGCAACCATAATTTCCTTGAAAATAATTATTATAATAAAAGCAATAGCTCACACTTATTCATCCTGTGCCAAGTACTGTTCTAAGCACTTTGCATACATTAGTTAATTTAATGATTGCAATAATTTTAGGACTTGAGTGCCATTACAATTCCTAGTTTTTAGAAAATAAAATTGAGATTAAGGGGGGTTAGGGAACTTGCCAGTGAAATAAAACACAGCAAAATCCATAAATAATTTTTTTTAAGTTAGTGTTCTTTGATTCTGTCACTTGGAAGCAAATGCTTCCCTGAATGTGTCTTATTTCCATGGGAACCTCTGTTAAATGTTAGGTGCACAGATTTAGGCTGGGAGGTGGGATTTAGACCAGGGGCAAACAGGTGAAACTCAAACCTCGAACTCAAAGAATTAACAGCCTCATGGAAAAGATACAAAAGGAAACAAGCCCAACAAAAGAACAGAAAGTGAGTGCTTCTTCCGTAATGATAAAAATCCTGGAGATCAAGTTGATGGTAGTAAAGACTGCCTTACACACGAGGCAACATTGGAGTTGGGTTTTGAATTAATTAAAAGATTAATTTAAAATTTGTAATGAATAATGATAATGAACGCCAACAAGGATTGCGCTACATAATGATAATTATGTTTGATACCATATAAGAACTTTATATGAATTATTTATTTCTTAGTGCAACCTCATCAGATAGTTTCCTTTATCTCCATTTAACAGATGAGGGAACAGAGTATCAGAGAGATTTGATGACTTGCTCAAGTTATTGCAGTAATATAATTTTGAACCAATAAGCTAGAAATGGTGCTTATCAACTATCAATGACTTCATTTTTATCTCCCCTGGTTGAAGAGATTTGTATTAATCTAGTTTTGAGATGGAATCGTGCTCTGTCACCCAGGTTGGAATGCAGTGGCGTAATCTTAGCTCATCGCAACCTCGGCCTCCAGGGTTCAAGTTATTCTTCTTTTTCAGCCTCCTGAGTAGCTGGGATTATAGGTGTGCACCACTAATCCCAGTTAATTTATGTTCTTTTAGTAGAGACGGGGTTTCACAATGTTGGCCAGAATAGTCTCGACCTCTTGACCTGCCTGCCTTGGCCTCCCAAGGTGCTGAGAATACAGGCGTGAGCCACTGCGCCTGGCCTCACTAATTTAGTTTTTAATATTTTTTCCTTTATACTAAACTAACTTTGATTTGTCTAATGCTCCTTTCATTTTCAAGGCAATTTTATAGGTGTTTTCATCTTGTTCTTAGGTAGGGCTCCTAGTTTACATCGATGTCAAAAGTGACACCATTCATTGTAGTGTGGATTACAACTGGGAGTGTTTCCATAAGACCAGATAATCAGGTGGGTTTCATTGGCTATCTGGATAGTGGATGCCTGAAGAGGTGGGTCCAGAGGCACTCTGAGGCTCTGTGTAGGCTCAGCAGGGAAGAACGTGGTGATTTGTCAGGGAGGTATGCTGAAACTCTATTGGGGTGTGGAGTGGATAGAGGAATGGTGATAGGGCAAAGAATAAATGTGTGTTCTTTACAGAATAGAGACATTGGCCTGGATTGTGTTTGACTCTGACCTAATAATAGGATGTCCATAGGGGTGACAGAGAGAATCGCTGTGGAAAGAACTGATAGACAACCAGAGGCTAAAGAGGAGAAGGGGTCTCAGGGGTGGCTTTAGTGGGACCCTCCAGAGAATGCCCAAAGCCAGGGGAGAGAATGAATAGCTTTATACATCTCACAGACCAATTCAATGGAAAGCCATTTTATGAGTTATACGTTAACAAAAAGGTCGAAATAAGACTGTGGAATTCAGTGAAAGTTATTAAATTACTATCCAGGAAATGGAGTTGCTGCACAGGAAAGCTATTTTGCAAGCTTATTCCATGGAAATGCCGTCAATGGAACATTGCTGGGGAATCCCAGCATACTTCCTCAGGTCATAAATAGCAATGTTTGGGAGGACTGAGATTTTTGTCTCTACGTTTTAAACAGACGCAGAATGGCTGATTCAGAGACAGGCTGAAGGATATGGACTAATGAGAATAAACAATGGACATTTTAACCATGACAGAGAGAAAAATAGGTCTTATATTTTTCTTTTAGCACTTATGTTGACTCTTGTGTCACTAAATTCAGACAAATAGTGCTGGAAATATAGTAGGAAATACTAGGAGAGAGAGAAATACCAGTTACAGGTTATCAAATGGTTTCAAAGTGATTCTTCTAGCCAAGTTTCTAGAAAAAATGTGTTTTTCTTTTTCTTTCTTTTCGCAAGTATTGAAAATTGTTTATTATACCTACCATTGCTCCCAGAAATATTTTTAATCAATTAAAAATGTATTTAGGGTAAGTACATGAAAAAGGGACCAAATTGCAAAGTGTCTTGTTTGAATCCTGAAATCGACGGTGACCCTAATGCAAATTAATGATCACCCTAGCCATTCTTCTTTAAAATTGGGTATTGTTGCAGGGTACCAAGGGTATGAGGACAGTAAAAGTGTGCAGAAGGTAAATTGAAAAGGGATAACTATAGTGTCTTTATTATTGCATACATTTTGTGCTTGTGTGAAATCAATGTATTGGCAATGACTAATAAATGAAAATTTAGAGCCTATAAAAAGAATAGGGAAAAAGAATACATGGAAATTAGGCCAAAGGAAATGAATTCAGAACATAAATATGATCTCTAAGCAGAACTGATGTAGTGCAGACATGTCTCCAGGTGGGGGCAAATTAGAGAAAACTGGACCCTAAAGTACTGGTGACAGTAATCTTGCCTTCTGCCCTGGGGGGCAAAGTGACATTCAAAACATGTTACTGAGGGTGGGTCTGTGATTTTGACACAGCCTCTGGAATATTAGAGCTTTCTCCCTCCTCCTTTTGGAAATCTTTACTTTTCTTAGATAATAAACAAACATGAATTATCTCCCTATAGATATACATTTGTTAGAATTTTGGCTTGTGTGTGTGTATGTGTGTGGGTGTCTAATGTATGCTGAATAATATATATATTATACAGTATATATATACAGTATATATATATACATATATATTATACATACATATATATATATATATTTTTTTTTTCAGCATAAAGGAGAAGGAAAATACTGGATCAGGCCCAAGAATCCTTATACATAGTTTTATAATTTTAGTCTTATAGTTTTAGTTTATAATTTAAAAACTGTATCTATATATAGTAGGCTATATCTATATTTATATATTATAATCTATATAGACTATCATATCTATATATTACATATATAGTTTTTAAATTATAAATCAAAGTTTATTCTACATGAGCAATTGTACACTGAAAAAAGAATCATAACTATAATTATATTAAATTTAACATGTTAAGAAAGCCTGATGTATAATCGATGGACATGGTAAGTACACTGTACGGTAACTTCATCTGGCCCTTTTCCATTCATCCTTTGGGTCTCAAATTGAATGTTACTTTCTTGCCTTCCCTTAGCCTCAAATGAAGTCAGGACTCTCCTATGATTCTGTTACTACCTTTCATATAGTTTCCTTTCATTGTGTAAGTATTTCTTCTATTTCTTCATTTTCTTTCTACTCTTTCCAGAATCTATAAGCCATTAGGACAGGAACCATGTCTATTTTACTTATCATAGTGACTTATCACAGTGCTTGGAACATAATCTGTACAAAGAGAAAATAAAGAATTGTAAGTAGTTCATAGTGATACTTAACATTGCTTACATGAACAAGCCAAGTTTTAAATGTATTATTTTCTCCTTTGTGGTTTGTTAAGTGTCCAGAATGGCATTAGTGTTAATAGTGCTCCTTAATGTGTAAATAGGTAAACATTTGTCACTAAAATAGACATTGCATTCAGTTGTTTGGAAAGACAACATGGTAAATCCCTCTGTCTAGTTTCAGAGTTCCCTACAGCTGTATACGATGAGCAGGGCTTCAGCTGTGTTTTCTGTTCTCTATCTTCCATCTCTGTCCCATTCCTTTTCCATTCGAATGAAGGGGTAAAGGAAGCTAGATATGAAGGAGCTAAAGCTCCTGCATAGAATAGCCTTGGTAAGCCCTTTCCCTTTCTGTCACAGATACAACATTTGTGTTGGCCTTGTATTTTTCTTCCAGTCCAGGTGCAGTAAAAAGCAGGCAGCCATTATTGGACAGTTTCTTTTCCAAGAAGCTGAATCCTGCATCTCTTGAGAAGTAGCTTAGAATAATGGATAAATGCATGGACTCTTGAGCCAGACTTCAAAACCTCGGTTTGAATTCTGGCTCTGCCACTTACCAGCTAGTTATTATGGGAAAATCACTTGATCTCTCCGACCTCATTTACAGAATGGGATATTGATAGCACCTGCCTCTTAGGTTTGTAAGGAAGATTAAATGAGTTAACATTTTAAGATTCTTACATAAACAACAAAAATAGTAAGTAAATAAGACTAGGCTATATAGTCAGACTAGGCTGTATAGAAGGGTATGCCATTTGTTAAGTAAATAAATCCATTTCTCCAACTGATTTTTTTTCCTTGCTAGATGGACTTGCCAGTTTCAAAAGTTTCCTGAAGTCTGAATTCAGTGAGGAAAACCTTGAGTTCTGGATTGCCTGTGAGGATTACAAGAAGATCAAGTCCCCTGCCAAGATGGCTGAGAAGGCAAAGCAAATTTATGAAGAATTCATTCAAACGGAGGCTCCTAAAGAGGTTGGTCTGTGGGTAGGTGGGTCAGTTAAGGGTAGCTCATTAGCTCTCAGGAAGGGTTTACATCTGAGACACAGACCTCCTGTTGGGAGCCAACGGCTATTCCTATTTGTGAATTGGCCACCTTATTAAGCACCTACTGAGTATAAAGGCAGAACAATATGGTCAAGTATTTATGAACATGAATCCGGCTCAGACGACTTTTAGTTTTATGGTTCTCACTTCAGTATCATATAACCTCCAGTGGGAATCATACCAATGTGAAATCTTACATGAATTGTTGAGTCTCTCTGAACCTAATTTTTTCCTTTGTGAAAATAAGAATAATGGAGACTATTTTGTAGAGATGTTGTGAGGATTAAATTAAAAAGTGGGTGTAAAAACTTCTTCACATCGAACATCTCTGATCTGGAAATTTAAAATCTAAAATGCCTCAAAGTCTGAAACTTTTTCAGCAGAAGGATGCCACAAGTGGAAAATTCCACACCTGACCTCATGTGATAGATCTCTGTCAAAATACAGCCAAAACTTTTTTCATACACAAAATTATTAAAAATATTACATAAAAGTACCTTCATGTTATGTTTAACGGTATATATGACACATAAATAAACTTTGTGTTTAGACTTGGATCTCATATTAAGATATCTTACCTCATTGTGTATATGTAAATATTTCAAAATCTGAAAAAATTCAAGATATCTAAAACAGTTCCGGTTCCAAGCACTCTGATAAGTGATATTCAACCAGTATATTAGTCCTTTCTCACGCTACTATGAAGAAATACCCAAGGCTTGGTAATTTATAAAGAAAAGAAGTTTAATTGACTCACAGCTCTGCATGTCTGGGGAAGGCCTCGGGAAACTTTCTATCAAGGCAGAAAGCACTTCTTCTCAGGGTGGCAGGAACGAGAATGAGAGTGGAGCGAAGGGGGAAGCCCCTTATGAAACCATCAGATCTCGTGAGAACTCACTCACTCTCACGAGAACAGTATAGGGGAAACTGCCGCCATGATTCAATTATTTCCACCTGGTCCTGCCCTTGACCTGTGGGAATTTTTACAATTTAAGGTGAGATGTGGGTGGGGACACAGAGTCAAACTACATCAACCAGTATCTCAGTGGTCTGAACTCATTAATGCCTAACGAGTATTTCTACAACTTTTCTTTGTTCCTCTTTCCTTTCCCATTACTATTCTTTTCTCTAAATGCCTCTCTTTTTTTCCCCCCCTTTACTCTTCTTTATCCTTTATTTTCCCACTTGGACTTTGCCATTTACACTGTAGTTGGGAAAATGGTACATTTACTCATAAATATCAAAATATTACAAGAAAATGGTGCTAGAGATGTTAAAAGTCAATATACCACTGATTGACTACTGAAGACCAGATTTTTGTTGATTTCAAAGAAACTTTGGGGAAGTTGATCTGCTTTTTTCTTCGCTAATTATAAAACCACATTAAAAGCCTATTGTGGAACTCGGGATGGCCACAGAAAGCCTGTAATCCCAGCAGTTTGGTTGGCCAAGGCAGGCAGATCACCTGAGGTCAGGAGTTTGAGACCAGCCTGGCCAACATGGCAAAACCCCGTCTCTACCAAAAATACAAAAATTCGCTGAGTGTGGTGGCATGTGTCTGTAATCCCAGCTACTTGGGAGGCTGAGGCAGGAGAATCTCTTGAACCAGGAAGGCAGAGGTTGCAGTGAGCCAAATGGTGCCACTGTGCTCCAGCCTGGGTAACAGAGCTAGACTCTATCTTAAAAAAAAAAAAAAAAAATTAGGCACCAGGACACCTGAATTCAAATTCTGATTTTCTAGATTCAAATATGCTTATCAGTTCCGTGATCCTGAGGAAGCCACTTAACCTTCTGCATATACGTATTTTTTTTTTCTAAAAAAGAAAAGAATCATTCTTAGGATTGTTGTAAAGGATTAAATAAGTCATGTGTGTGTTAGCTTCTATGGGAGTTCTGATACCGGGTGGTTGTCTGATACCCGTTGGATGCATCTGTTGGAACATCAGCTGCATTACTCCATCACCTATAAAGTGAGATGTGACATGTCTCACTTTTTAATGACTTTCCTCCCCTCTTATGTTTTATTGATGAGAAATTCCACCTCCCTCTTTACCCCTCATCAAATTTTATACCTAGGTTTACTTAGTGACCCTGTTTCCTGGCCCACAGGTGAATATTGACCACTTCACTAAGGACATCACAATGAAGAACCTGGTGGAACCTTCCCTGAGCAGCTTTGACATGGCCCAGAAAAGAATCCATTCCCTGATGGAAAAGGATTCACTGCCTCGCTTTGTGCGCTCCGAGTTTTATCAGGAGTTAATCAAGTAGTAATTTAGCCAGGCTGTGAAATCATCCTGTGAGTTATTTCCTCCATAATAACCTGGCATTTCCCAGTAATCTATATATCTTCCCATGGCAGCTTTGCTCAATGATACCCACATGGGAAAAATCCCAGGGGATGTTGCTTACTCTTTTTGTGTACACTGCTTTGGATGCTTAGCTACTCTCCGAAGGCCTTCTTTCCCCACTCAATTCTTCCTGCCCTGTTCTAAATTAAGATGTCTCCAGTTTTAGTCAGACCCAATCGGAATCACAGAAAAATCCTGCCTAAGGCAAAGAAATATAAAGCAAGAATATGGTATCAATGAATGTGGATTTAGGTAATAGATTTCCACCTAAATTGGTCTGAAAAAAAATCTAAGTGTGGACAGACCTATTTCAAAGGAGCTTAATTGATCTCACTTGTTTCAGTTCTGATCCAGGGAGCTCACTCCTCTAATTATTTCTGAACATGGTTAATAAAAGGTGATAAGATTTTAACGAAGCAGCCACTGTATATTTTAAGCAAACATGTTATTTAAAATATTGATTCTTCCCTTGGAACACCTTCATGTGAGCTAGGTATTAAAAATAAGAGATAAAACCATGAATATATTGTGTTTATACAAAATCAATCTGAACACAATTCGTATAGATTCCTATTTTTACCTTCCTCACTGCCCCCCCTCCACGTGCCCATAGTTACCAAATTCTGTTCTAAATCAATGATCTAAGGTCAGCAGTGAACTACTTTGTATGTATCTATGCTCCTAGACTGTAGGTCAAATGTTTGCATTTTCAAATTATTTAAAATTCTTATTAGTGTAAAATTCACAAATTTCTAAATCCAATCATGTAAAATGAAACTGTTTCTTCATTGTAGTAGACTCCCATCTAAATATCAAGATGGCTATACACTAAATAGAGAAAATATGGTCAATTCTAAAATGGCTAATTGTCCTACAAAGCTATGATCATAGACTAATGACATTTGTCTTCAAAACACCAAATTGTCTTTAGAAAAATTAATCTGACTATAGGTAGAGGCCTTCTAAGGTGAGACACATTTAAGGTACACTGCATTTTGCAAAAAAAAAAAAGTAATCTTTTAGCAACCCCAATATTCCCTCACTATTTTGCTTCCTGCATTAGTAAATTTTACTTACAGTCAAAAGCACAGATTTATGCTCCTGATATGCCTTATTCACAGCTAATTGACAGGCCATAGGATTTTTGGTAGGTTTAAACTTTTAATTCTGTATTTCATGATTATAAGTCTTGCTAGAATTTTTTCTAATCTTTAATAGATTTGATTAAATAATGGTTCACAGAATTTAGTAACAAAATCAAAGTAAACCATGTATGAGAGTAATCGAGATGAGGATATTGAGTTAACTCAAAAGAAAGAGGGTGACTTTTAAAGGATTAATAAAATTCTGAAATGTTAAGTAGAATATTACATTGTCTAGTCTTGTATTTCCTCCTTTTGTTGCTCTTTTTCATTCACACACTCTTAGTTTCCCATATTTGTAGCTCATTTTTTTGGTTATTTCTTAAGAATATTAAAAGTGAAGCAACTATGTGACTGTATTCTTCAGGCAAACACCGACTGTGCTTGTTGGATTTTCCCTATTTTTGTGACTTCAAGGATAATTTGACCTGCTGAATACTTGCCATTTCACACTCTCAAAATGGGTAGAGTGGCTGGGTATGCTGCCAACAATTGCTAGTGGTGTGAATTCATTCATAGTTGCCAGCATTGTTTGTGTCAAAAAAAACGATCCTTCATCAAGCAGTTCAGAACTAGGCCAGATCAATGTTGCAGTCATGAAGTTCTCATTACACGCAATTGTGTAAGATTGACAAGAAACTCAGATAAAAATTTCCAGGATGTGCTTCCAGCACCAGCTTCAATACCTATCTACATTGCCCCCAAGCTAATAAAGTGCCAGCCCTTTACCCTCTCATACAGCTAAAAATGTTAGAAATCCAAAATCTTGGTGCATTTTTTCATAAATGCTAAAACATTTAAAGAAAAATATAATGTAATAATATAAAGTTCAAATAGTTTATTCACATTATTTGAAATATCCAGATGTTTGAAAATTCCCAGATAATTAACTAGCTATTACAGATCTCACCCGGAGGGTTGATGTTATGAAGACGCCAATGAACTGTACTCAGAAATTGACTGGACACCCTATGAAAGTGGGTAGACGTTTCGGTGGAAAATAAGATGGGCTTTTACCTTTTAATAAAGCTGAATCTAGGAGGTAGAGGGCAGGAAAGAGCCCCATGAAAGCCGTTCTGTGGAGATATAAAAAGGATGGAAGACAGAATGCCCTATAGTGATATCATAACATTATATCTACATATATGTCTACCTATATCTACAGCTATATAATCTTAACATTTAAAATCATATTCACACACACATTAGAAACTCTTCTAACATATGAAGTAATAAAATCAGAAAGAATATAAATATTCTAGCCCCAAATGATAGACCAAATGTATTGAAATTGTTCTAGAAAATTTCTTTGAACACTGTTGAAAGTTTTTGGTGAAACTTAGAAAAAATCCTGTGTTACTAATAATTTCCATGGTAATACAGATAAAATACATTCTTTTAATTCTGGAAAGTTTGAAAAAGTGGGGTGATCTTTCCAGGAAAAACATGTGTAATATCTATTTATCACTCCATCTCCTCCTCCTCCTCCTCCTCCTCCTCCTCCTCCTCTCTGTGTTCTCTTGAGTTAATGTCTGGGAAAGCATGAAGCTTGATGCAAGAGCCCTGTGGTGCCAGAGTTTTCATCCCCTGTGAAAACGTAACTACAGTTGGGAGTGAATTGGGGTTGTACAAAGGTGGTGGAACGAAATTGTGGTCAATGGAAATAGGAGAATATGGTTCTCACTCTTGAGAAAAAAACCTGACTAGCCCAGGTAATTGCCCATAACTTAAGTTTTTCTGCCTGGGTTTGATATAGTTTAGGGCTGGAATTAGATTCAGATCTAAATTACATCAGGACAAAGAGACAGACTATTAACTCTGCAGTTAATTAGGAGGCATGTTCTATGTCGATTTGTTAAAGCAGTGTGAATAACCTTCAAGCATGTGAATAATCTCCTATCTTCCCCTGACACACACACACACACACACACACACACACACACACACACACACGGAGGCACATTTTTTTTTTCTTCCAGATAGACGTCTTTTAAAATGCAGAACTAACTGAGGCATTTCAGTAACTTTGCTTTCAAATTAATAAAGTCAAACGTGTGGAAACGTTTTGTGCCTCACTCTCCATACCCCAGGCACTCCAATTCTGTATTGTATAAATTATGCTTTAAGTAGATTTCAGTTTTCCATGCCAAGGAGAAGAGCTTGGTGAAAGAAGTTATTTTTATTTTTATCCTCTACAAAGCCATAGATTTCATTTGGTAGATGTATTCTCTGTACACAAGCCATTTCAATAGGATGGAGCTGTTAATTATTCTCCAAAGAGTAGTAGACATGCAAAAGTTTCAATAAAAACTGGGCCATTAACAAATAAATTGATAAACTAATAAGCATTCCCTTCTAGGTTTTTGCCGAACTGCCTATCCAATGACAAATTTGAGAATCATTGAAAAGGCTAGTTATATCTCAGAGAAATGATTTTCAATATTGAAACTGTTTCCCCTAGCAGGCCATTTTCCCTGTTTCCTGGGAATTTAGCAAGTTTAGGAGAGAATGATCATGAGAAGAAAGGGAAGAAAGGGGAGAAGGGAAGTGGTTAAAATGTTAGTGCCGAGACCTGTGAAATTAATCCCTTTGCTGGGAAATATTTAATAGCAGTTCAGAATGGTTGAAACTAGCTTTTGTCATCTTCCTTATTTGCAGGAAGGTATTTCCTGACTTGCAATGCAGCTAGATGTAAAATTTTATTTTAACAGCCTAGAAAGCCTTGACTTGAAAAGAGAATAAATTTTGAGGCTTGCATATTTGTCTTGCATGTGCCAGAAAGCAGAGAATGGAAAATGCAATTTCCAGCATCCAAGCATCTAAACCCAAGGGCTAGGCAACGCTATGTAGGTTTTGGACACAAAGTTTGGTGCATCTTGGTTTATCCTGGTTTATAAACCAGGATAAATTGCTATTAAAGCTCTCTGGTTTATAGTCTCTTCATTTTATTAGACAAATATGTACTTAACACTTCCTTGGCACAAAGCTCTTTAGTTAACAATTTAGCAGTTACTGTTTGTGTTAAACGCACTTTTCACCAAACAGGTTCCGAGGCAAACAAGAGCAATGAATATTTAAAGAAAGGCTTTCCCAGTATCACTTACCCATCCCAAAACTAAAAAGATCAACTTTTCCAACTGAGAAGACGCTCTTGGCTTTGAATGGAAACTTACAGCAGAGAGGAATAGGCAACAACAACCACAACAACAAATATTTGGAATATTATTCTTAACTCATGGTTTAATAATAAATCTTTCTATTTTTCTAGTAGAGAAACTACCAATCAGCCTCTTCAACATTTACATCCAGTTTATCAAGCCTCTTGCAAGATACTTATTCTCTTACCTGAGTTATTTTGTCCTCTCTACCTCGCCAGTATTCCTCCCTTCGTCTTCTCCCTTTGCAAGAGGAAATATTTAAAATATTTGGGTGTAACTTCAATTATGTAATAATTAATACATTAAAAGCATTTAACTTCCTGTCTAGAAAAACATGCAGGCTACGGCATAGACAATACAAAAAGAAATGCTTGAGAAATTTGCCCCTGGAGACAAGTAATATGAATAAATCTTTGCCAAAAGTTTTTTTTATGTCATATAGTGTCAGAATTTGAAGGAACTATTTTTCTTCATGTTACACCTCGCAACTCATCTTCAGAAGACACAGCCAGGAGAATGCAGTAGAAGTGAAAGGTTTATAAATCCGTTTGTAAGCATTTATCCCATACATTTTAAATTCAAGAACAATTGTGTTTATCTTTAGAATTTTGTATTCAATACTTTATGTACTATGTGACTCATGCTTCTGGATAAATAAAGCACCAACTATGTATATGTAACCACCATCACATATATTATATTAAATATATATCTATATAACAGCCTCATATGAGTCCTTCTTGACTCCCATATATTTTCTATATGAAACGTTCTTCCTTAAGATAGGCTTGTTCTTTCACCATGCTTCTTATACCAGGTTAGCTCTTGACCAATTGGGAGGATGCTTACTATACTAATAAGGGCCAACTATAATACAGCCTGACATGCAAAACTCAGAGAAATACAAAGTGTCCCATTTTCATACACTCTGTTGACTACTTTCCCTTGGATTCAGGTGACAATAATTTATTGACTCAGGTGCCATCACTGTTAGAAACTGACTGAACATATTATGTCATTTGGATCCTGCAATATTCAGTGAGTATAATAATTCCTTTCTCTTCCTCCCCTGGTGAAAAACCTGAAAAATTTGAAATCCAGATGCCACTGCAAGCAGCTTAATTCTGTGACCACAGATTTGATGCTTAAGTAGCTAAGATAATGTGGGGTTGAGACTGGGTAAAAGACGAAGCTTGTATTCAGAAAGAAGCAATAGGAGCAGATTTATAGGGAGAAACCCTGGAAAGGGAAAGAGGAGACAGGCAGACAGACATAAAGAGAGATTAAAGAGAGTGTCTATCTTGGTCTCTGATAAGTTTCTTAATTTTCATTCCCAGGCTCCATGAGGCCTAACTGTATTTAATATAGATATGATGCCCCTGAATAATTTCAATACCACCTACTCTGCTCTTTATTTTTATTACCTTGAATGAGTTTCCAAGAGTTTTCACCAAGAACTATCATTAGAGCAAAGATCATCCACACTTCTTTGTTTCCCCCACAGAGAGGTGATAGTCTTGAGGTCACTCTGCAAATCAGTGGCAGAACAGAGATTAGAGATCAGTTTGACTGTCTCTCAGATGCCTGTTTGGTTCACTAAACAAAAGTAACCCCATATAATCCCTCATGACATTAGGGTTATTGGCTCTAACTTGAGCAAAAGAGGTTAAATGAACCATTCTCCAAGTGGGAACCCATTCTATCATCTGTCAAAGTCAGGTAGGCCAAGCTCTGCAAGTTATCAGATTTCTAAAGCACATTGTACCAGTTTTACATTTTCCAAATCAGCAGTACCTCGAAAATTATTTTGTCCATTAACCACTTTCCAAGTTCATTAACTTTTCAGATGGCTTCCCAATGCCTCCACCACATCCTGCATTTGAATTAGTTTCATCTGACAAGTTCCTAGTCCACTTGCCATGCCTTTCCACTGGTTGGTCAAATCTTACCCTCTTTTAACAGTTTAAATTGGTAAAGCAATAAAAGAAATCAATGGAAATTTTATTTAAAAGTAAACTTTTTTATTCCATCCTTGGCAGACCGTCTTTGTGACCAGGTTAGCCTGGTCTCTGCTAATGAGGTCACATTTTCAAGTCACTTTCACCGTAAGAGAATGCTTTTGATGCCAGGGGTACAGGGGTGGGTACACCCACAGGCAATTTTGAAGGTCAGTTATGCTTTGAAAAAGTGATGCCTTGTGAATGCTACTAGAAATAACTGTTTGTGACAAGTGAGAAATAGATGGCTGCCTCAGATTTTGCTGTTAAATGCCCTAAGCCTTTTTGCTTCCAAGCAGAATTCTTGGAAAACAGAAGAGACACTGAAAAAAAAAATTGGAGCGTAGACACTTTCATGAATAAGCGTGAATGAAAATTGATGTTCCCTTATTTCTTTTAATTGAACATTTATTTTGACTATTTTAATTTAACTAAATGAAAGCCTTAACTTCTATACCATTTGAGTTTCTCAAACAATTTGACTAACAATGAGCAAGGAAGGCAATAAAGAAAAAGTCCAGATACAGAAAATGTCAGAGTTGAAATAGACATTACAAATGCTCTCATAAGCCCGGGATGAAAATTCACTCCTCCTCTCTTTGCAGATTCTTTTCAGCTTAGATGCTAGCAACTTGGGGGACACAGACACTTAGGGCCCAGACAGCAAAGGAGGAACCTACTTGCCTGGCCAGTCATATTGGCCAAATTACTAATGGTGATCAGTCGGGTAATGGTCATCACATACAAATAACCGCTCTGCCATCCTCCAATGGCAGCATACCCAGACTAATCTTCATTTTAAATATGAGGAAATTGAAGCCCATAGAAGTGAAACATTTGTCCAGAGTTATACATCTGTATAATGCCATAATGTTTACAGTATGATCTGATTCTTAGAGTGGGGTGTCTTTTTTCCTCTGGAAAAAAATTTATATTATGTCACATTCACATGTCTATACTAATGAAAAACAGACGCTTTTAAAATTGATGTCAAAGAACTATAAGACACTAGAGAAATGATAAGTTGACCCCAAAACACCCTGCTTCTCAAAATGGGCTCCTCTCCCATATCTCTGTAATAATTTTCCCAACTAACTATCCTTCTGGGTTAGCAAACTACTCCTTTAAGTGTAAAATGTCCTATTAGGAAGTTATCAGCCATTCATACTTTAATGTGAATGACTCCAATGGGATGATACACATTGCTTGCTTCTTAAAATCTTTCTGAAGACAGCCCAGAGATAAAGCGTGTTCTGATTGAGAAGACTGGTTTGATTGAGGAAGAGAAAGTTCTGCCTATTGTAGTGTTACTTTTTGAAAATTGGTAATGCATATGTGTTATATACATACCCATTCTCTGACAGCACCAGGTAATAAAGATTTATGCACATAACAGTCTTTTATCCTAAATATTGCTCTAGCAACTATCATGTATTTACTCTTTACTGAGATTCGAGAACAGGCAGAGTTCTCATGCTAAATTTCCCAACTACCCATTGCAAACTGTTATTTGCAACTGATTGCATTTTGTTAAGCATTGTCCATCGCTTAAGAATTCTCCCTTAAATGAAAATTCTCGTTAAAAAAAGGTAACATATAAAATCTTTAACTGCTTTTCTTGACAAGGGAGGAAACAATTTAGAGCATTTATCTGATTATGTTATTCTTCTGTTTCAGACCTTTCAATAGTTTTCCATGCTTTCAGCCTCCTGTAGTCTTAGACACAGGGGACAGAGAAAGACCTGTCTAGTCTATAAATCCATGTGGGGTACTCTTTACTTTTCAATGATTGAATAACACCTCAAATATCCTTATATTGTTATTATTGAGATGGAGTCTCCCTCTGTCACCCAGGCTGGAATGCAGTGGTACAATCTCTGCTCACTGCAACCTCTGCCTCCCAGGTTCAAGAGATTCTCCTGCCTTAGCAGATATATGGGAGTTTATTATGTATTAAAGTACACAATCACAAAGGTCCCACAGTAGGCTCCACAAGCTGAGGAGCAAGGAGAAGCAGTCTGAATCCCAAAAACTGAGGAACTTGGAGTCCAATATTTGAGGGCAGGAAGCATTCAGTATGGGAGAAAGATGTAGGCTGTGAGCCTGGTCCATCTCTCCTTTTCATGTTTTTCTGCGTGCTTTATATTCTCTGGAAGTGAATTAGGTTGTGCCCACCAGATTAAGGTTATATCTGGCTTCCCCAGCCCACTGATTCAAATGTTAATCTCCTTTGGCAACACCCTCACAGACACACCCAGGTTTAATACTTCATAACCTTCCTTGGTAGAAACAAAGAGTATGAACTTTTACTCACCTAGTTCTAGAAAACTAATCTGGGGCCAGAGAAAATCCGTGTCTGAATTGGAAATTGGGGAAGCTTTATATAAATAATAGATTCCCAGGTCCCAACTCCAGAGATTTGGAGTTTTAGGGACAGGTACCCAAAACAAAACAAAACAATGTTCAACAGTCTCTGTTAAGTTTGGAAACTCTGTCCACAAACAGTCATTTTCTATGTACTAGGCTAATGTCTTGATGCAAATCAAATGGGACATGTTTCATAACCTTGAGGA